CAATCACCACACTTGAAGAACACAGCCCCCAACCAAGCACTTGACACTTGAAGAACACAGCGCCGAACCAATGAATGAAACTGGCACCACCACACGAGCAGTGCAATGAGAGCAGTGAACATTGCAGTGGGGCCAGTGAGTGAGGACAGTCCAGTCAGTGCAGCGTAATGTGAAAGCTCACCAGAGAAAAAATATGATGCCAAGGAAGGGTCACCCCGCAAGAAACAAGAAATGCCAATGATGCAAGCCAACAACGTTGCACCACCAAAGCGCTTTGCATTGAACATTTGCAGGCAAGCAAAAATGACAAAAACCACCACCCCCAAAACAATTGTCCAGCAGAGTTTGGCGTTTAGGGTTTTTGCCTTAATAAAAAGTTTGTATAATGTCAATACAAAAATTAGCAAACAATCTTGGCTTTGGCTCGTGATCTATTGATCACGACTGAAACCTTTTTTTGCCAGTTTTCAAGGTAAAAACAAGCCCCATGATGCAAGAAATGCACCCCCAACATTGCAGCATCATGAACAAGGTAAGGTGACATCATTGATCCGAGTGAAGCACGCGCGTGTGTCTGCACAGTATATGTATGTTGTAGCATTGGCCCAAGCTTTGTAATAATTGTAATCACTGTATTCCTTGGGTTGTCCGTCTTTTGATGGGCATAGTAAAGTTATTTGCTGTCTAGAAACCAATCTCAAACGTTGAATGTACCCAGCCGTGAGGAATGCTCCGCCCTTTCTACGCACTTGGGCAAAGATGTGTATTTTGCAGTCGGCGAGCTTCAAGACTGGCCAATCTGTCAGCGCCGTCGGCTTGACGTTACCCCTCGCGCATGTTTGACATTTTTGTTGTTCCCAATCAGGCGGCGACTGCGCAAGAATCGTTGAGTGAGATATTGCGAGGCAGGGCCTCACTGGTAGCGCGAAGTTTTCAGAAGGTTTTGATTTTCAAAAGGTCGTGAGTGCATATATGGCTACGGCCAGAAACTTAAGGCTTGGATCACACACCCAAACCCACACGATCCATACCTCGATCCATAGGGTATGGATCAAAAGGTGGGTGTGTGATCCAAGCCCTTGGATCAACTACTAGTGCTACCACTGCCATAACAACAACTGCTACTACTACCTCTGCTGCTACTACTGTTGTTACTGCCACCACTCCTACACTGCTACTGCCACTACAGTTGCTACCACTACTGCTATTACTACAACAGCTCTACTACTGCTGCTACTGCTACTCACTACTATCACTAGTATTACCACCACCACAGATTTAGCGGAAGCCACTAGATTCAACTTTAAATTGACTTCCCATTCTGGCAAAGATTGACCGGAATCCGCTAAGTGTGGTCGCAGCCGGCGCTCGGCTCGAACCCTGACACCGTGGAAAAAGAAATTGAAGACTAACGCTTTAACCATTAAGCTATGGAAGCCTCTGATTGGAGGAGCCAACCCAACTATACCATGTTAAAGAAGGTGCCAGAAGACAAGATAGTGGAAGAGCCGTTAAGCCACCACCTATTAAATGACTTGCGAGCCCACTGAATCACCAATTTGCGTGGCTAGCTAATGGCCTTTTTTGGGCTTCTTGTATCGGCTTCTTGAACCAAAACAAGGGTTGGAGAAATGAGGTTAGTGGACCCCGAAAACTTTAATCCGCAAGGCCTCTTGTTAGCCCAAAAGTGAACCAGCGCCCATTGCCACCCACTCTACCCAACCATGACCCAGTATGTGGACAGTGGAGCCCAATGAATTTAGCGGCGGCCAGTACTTCAAAACAGGCTTGCCACAAACAGGATGGCCCCGATCGTGGAAGCCACCACCTTCACAGTGAACTGGTGAGAAAGTGGTGGGGTGGAGCGCCACCATGCAGATGTGTTCGTATCAGGGGCTTGTGGCGCGCCTCAGACCTCAGGTTTTCGAAAGAGCTCCGATTCGGCCCAGGAGTGAAACACAGTTGATGCATGTTGATGCATCCCTGTCATCAATGTTTGGAGCAATCACTCAGAATTCGGGAGCGTCCTACACTTCCCAGTTTTCTAGTTGTTTGTGTTCGCCACAACTGAGCCTTATATAGAGGTTTTCTGCGGAACTTTGCAACCTTTGCCATGGGCCACTGATTTCGAAAGTGTTGTGTGGCGCACCAGCCGTCAACCAGCCAAGGCTGAGTTTCTATTTGGCGGGACTGGCGGAACTCATCAAGAAGATGAAGAAAGAAGGGAAGATTGACAGGTACCAGGCTGGTTTCACCCTTGGGGCGGTTTAGACTCGCAAGAAAAGGTTTGGTTGTTTGGGGAAACATCCTTCTATTTCTGGTTGGGACTGGGTTTCCAGGTCTGTCCTTCTTGGACTCCAATTGCATTGTGACTTCACTCAGGGATGGTCCAATCTGTTTGGGTCCAAGCTCTTCTTCCCGTTTTGGGGATCATCCACTTTGAGTAGCCATGTTGCTCTAGTCACCCTAGCCCTAACGACCATGGATTGCAACAAAAGATACACTTCTGGAGTCTCTTCTTGCCGCACTACTCAGGGGTGCAAGATAGTATGGCCAGACTGCTCCAAATGCCAAATTTGTCATAATTGTGCTTCCCCACCACAAAGCGTCTCACAGGAAGAACTTGAGGAGCTGCAAAAACATGTGACTGACACGCTGGAAGTGCAAGCCATCACTATTGATGAAGATTATGACACCTGGCACAACCAACGCGTCACCAAATCAAGGGGCACAACACTCTACGAATGTTTTTGTTGGATTGTTTGCCAATGTGAAGCCATCAAGAACAGATAGGTAGTGAGTGACGGAGCTCCAAAGGGTTTCAATTTCGTGTGGTGGCAGCAGGGAAAGATTTTTCCAGAGAGCGCTGTTCGCATTTTGTTGTTTCTTTCAAGTCCGAGATGGTCTCATCATGAGTTCTAACAGTTTGGATATGGGAACCTATTGGGAACTATGCTTGACATGTTTTTCCATTTTGTCGGAAGGGCTCCGCCTGGGCAAAAGATGCTGTTGGGGAACGGTCTTCCACTTGGCGGTCCTTCTCAGTCTACGAGCCGGGGTGTGACCAGCCGTTCACGGACCCTTCACTCAGGAAGATGATACAGAGCCCCTTCCACGGTGTGATTTGAACATGCCCGTGGAGGCGCGTGAAGCACGTGACGTCCGGGGGTGCGGGCAGAGAGATAAATCCGTGCGACGTGGGGTTTCTGGGCGTCCTGGTTGTATTTCGTCGGAAGAAAGGCGACAAAAAGGGGACTTTTCATGCAGTGACCTTTTTCGACAGCTTGCTTTTGATCAAGTGGTCAGAAGTGATCCGTGATCTCAATCCAGAATGCAACATGTTTGAAACATGTGCAAGAAACTACTAGTAGTAACAAGGGCATCCCTACTAGGAGCAAGGACGCTACTAGTAGCTCTTGGCCTCACTACTAGGAACAAGAGGACGCTACTAGTAGGCTCCAAACGGTGCTCACCGTCGCGTGAAGCCCGCGCCGCCCTGGCCCACTGCGGCCCCAGTGACCAGGCAGGGGACATTGTGACCTTTGAAGTTGGTGGCCCAGACTTTGAGAAAGTGACTTGAAGTCGAACACCTGACAGTTTTTTTTCTTGTCTCGGCTGACCAAACGGTGATTTGTGTTGTGGTATGTTTTGGTAGATTTTGGTAGCCAAGATATGTTTCAGATATGTTCAGATGTTTAAGTTGTTTTGTTATTGAAGGCCCAAAGGCATGCAAAGGCATCGATGTGCATCTACATTGCCGGTTTGAATCCCTTGCATGGTTGAATCTTGTTGAATGGGATTCACTATGATTCACTCAAGTCAGTCAACTATACTGCTATTCAGCCAGATGGGTTGTTAGATATTGGGCTGTTTGGCTACCATTCATCGTCTTCCCCGACGTTTCGCAGACACTGAGGACGTTTCGCAGACACTGAGGCTCGGCCAGCGAGACGTCCTCAGCCGGGAGGGAGATGGCAGTTGGCGTGGGCGGATGGCACTTCACGAGATTTTGTTCATTGTTTGTTGGAGTTAAGTATCTGTATAGGATTAGATCCTTTCATTGGTCAAACGCAGCGGGAAAAAAGAAGAAGAATGTAATAGAATCGATGGGATTACGAGGAAGGGGCTGGGGCCAAGGATAGCTCGTGATGCTTGGGTGGAGGAACTCCTGTCCTTTGACTTTTTGTTGCTGTCAATCTGTTTGTCAACCGACTCTACTTTGTCATGTGGCCGGTTCTTTAATTGGGGCATTGAGACATACAAATCCAAACAACCAGAAATTAAAGGGTTGTTCCAATATGGCACTTGAGATGCTTGTCATATGCTTGGGACTGGGGAAACATCCAATTTGTTTCTGGTTTTGGGACGTGGTTTCCATTGGTTTCGCGTGCGACCGAACGCTCGATCCCAAATGGGCGACAGCCGAAGTCCCGAAGTCGGTGTGGAACCTTCGGCCGTTGGCACCTTGAGACGAAACCGCCAAGAACGTGCTGTGCGACGAAACCGCCAAGCATCAGAAAGAGCATTATTCACTGTTCCTCCCTGAGGAACAGCTTCCTCCCCTTTAAGCAAGCAGAATTTAGATACTATAGCACCTGTTTGCCCAAAGCAGAAGACCACCGGACAATGATCGGTCCATGTTCGAGTTGAGAACGGACATCCGTCGGAACTGAGCATTGCTTTTAGTATTTTTTAGCTCTTTTTTTTGCAGATCTCGTGCACAGCTCCAGCTGAGGACCCAGATGAATGCTGAAGCTGAAGCCTTGCGCTTGAACAAATTGACCTTCAGTGGCTCGGTCCCAAACCCGCCCCCGGTGCACAGCACTGGCGTCCTCGCCCGGTGCCGACCAACCGGTCGTCTGAGGCTATGGGCCTCACTTCGATTATTCGTCGCTTGGGTCCGACAGTCGACATGACTTGCCAGTCAGATGGTCTTCGAGTCTTCCAATTTGGCAATTTGATACTGGGGAAGAGAAGGGCATCACTTCTAGGAACAAGAAGCTACTAGTTACTACTAGTAGTAACTCCTGGTCTTATTACTAGTAACAAGGACGCTACTAGTAACAAAGTGGTTACCTTCCTGAGTCTCTTCGTGGGGACGTGTGGACCGATGGGACGTGTGGGACGTGTGTCTCCCTTGTCTCCCTTATGCGTCACCTTCGCCGAGGAACACCTTCAATACCTCGAGCCCGGAGAAAGAAACGGTCAATGAGACCAAAGGAGCAAAAGTTGCTTGGAAACCAAAGGAGCAATACTCTTATGAATCAGTCTACATTTATGACGTACTGCACTAGCCAGAGGCTGATTTCAAGGATATGTGTTTAATGTTGTTTTTTAATAAGTGATTCTTGATTAAAAAAGAATGATTTATGTCATATCTGTTTATGATTCTGCCGTTGAGTCCATTCGGCGGGGACCCCTGAGAGAGCGTCCGGAGGTGACGGAAGGAGGAAATCATTTAACAAAACAAATCATCAAAAAAGGCCCGGTTTTCCAGGTTGTTTGTACAACATATACACACATAGTAATTATGGATTCATAAAGATGTCATAACCAGTCATAAAATTAAATATTACTATAACATGTGCTGTTTGTGGCTTGCCAGTACGTCTGGTGAGACTGTGAGAGGTCTTTATCGCTCGTATGATAGATGCGGGTGGATCACAGGGACTGGGCAGTTGTATTGTTTGGGTGGTATGATCTCACCTCGCAAAGTACCAAGAGGTCTGGACCAAAGGGCCAGGAGACAAATTTAATAGCTTCTTGTTACTACTAGTAAGGCACTTGTTCCTAGAAGCGTGGCACTTGTTACTACTAGCTTCTTGTTACTACATAAGAGGATGACGTTCTTCGCATTTAACGTTTGAGGAGGCGATCTTCATTGATCTTCCTACGATTTCGTACCAATGACGGTTGATACTTGGTTCCTTCTTGATGGAATTGGGCAATCTGAAAGAATTTAAGATTCCTAAGGGATTCGAAGCCAACTGAGGCGCGGCCTTGTTTGAGTTCTTTTCCATGGGTTTCCATGGGTTTCCATGGTATAGAACCTTTCTTTGTAGCAAAGTCTCGAACAACTCTTTGTTCCTCCAAATCTTCAAGCCTCGTGTTTCGTTTTCGTTTTCGCCCACAACTCCTCCAGTTTCTTTTGGCCCGTTTCGGCCAATGCGAGGCCAAACGATATACGGTGCTTGGCCTCAAGCATGGTGCCAATGCATTCGTGAAGGTACCAAGGGCACCGCTACTAATTAGTATTGAGGGCATCGCTACTCGTAGCTCCTGGCATTACTACTAGAAGCAAGAAGCTATTAGGGGCCTCTGGCCTTAGTACTAGGAGCAAGGATGCTGCTAGGGGCTCCTTACTACTAGGAGCATTCTTGCTAATACTAGTAACAAGAAAGCAACCAAGCAGATGATGTCGTCTGAGAGCTCCGGAGCGGGCCTCATTCGATGGGATACCCACTCCCACTGAAACTGGCGGATCTGATAGATAGATCCATGTCACCCAGACTGGTCAATGCCGAAAGTGAACTGCTCTCGTGGTTCAGTTTCATAGATCTATTCAGCTCCCAGCTTTGGCTTTACATGTTATGTTGAGGTAGCGTCAAAATAAAAAAACAGAAGATGTCTTTGCACGAAGGCGATTCTTCGTAGTTGGCAAGTGTTTTTTGGTTGCCACTCGTTTTTTCATTCATCCGGGAGAAAACGACCAGGCAGCGCGTGCTGTGCGTCTTGCCCGTTGCCAGGTCTGCAAGGCCTTTGCCGACGTTGGCTGGAATCTCCTGAAGGTGCCTTGTCGAAATCTGGTCGACATCGTTTTTGTTGCTTTTCCAATTCCCCTAAGGCTTGGCTCCCCTCGTCTATGAGATTGTCTTGTGCAGAAACTCTGCTCTATGAGTTTGTTTGGTCTGTGCTTTTCTTCGCCAAGTCGACGTATCTCCTCATAGAATTGCTGGATGCTTAGATATTGCTTGTTGCAGTGCGGGATGACCAAAAAAATCCTGGAGAATCGGGTTGTAACTGCTGATCGCTTCTTGGTTTGTCCATTGTGGTGACTTCTCGCCTGTATCATTCTATGCTTGGTCGAGTCTTGTGATGTTGAGTGGTGCTTTGCATGTGCACGGCCAGAAACACACCTTTAAAATACCTTTATATAGTTTGTATATATATATACACATATTGTAATAATAATAATAATATATTATATATATATATATTTTTTGGGGGGTTGTCCTATTACCTGTAACAGTCAGTAAACAATTATTTCTATTTTTGAACAAGGCGTTTACTAACCATCATCATCCACTGTTACAGGTATTAGGACAGACCCATTAATATATTACTTAATACCGACCAGAATACATGTTCCATTTCCGGGACTGCACCATGTGTAAAGTACATTTTTGATACCAAATTTAGCCCCATCTTTCTTGGAACATATTGCAACAGCTGAAAGTCATTATCGCGCTAGTCCAAAGCTGTGTGCCCCACAAACCGACTCACATCTCTTCACACATGATTTTGAATCGTATGCACAGGATACATTCCAGTTCGAAAGCCTGACCCATTGTGTCTTTGCAAAGTTGTTCCCCAATGCCGGTTGTTTAGGCTACAGCTAATGGCTGCTTAAGGAGTCCGAATTATTGTATGTTTCTTGGTAGACTTGGTGCTGAAGCCAAACTGTAGTTGCCGCTTCATTGGTGCCTACTGTAAGGGTCACACCCTGAAGGGGGCACCGGCTTCGGATGTCGTTCCGAAAAAAGTGCTCCACCTTTCCTCTTGGTGAAGAGAAGAAGTGCCCCACACATCACCAACAGCGTGTTTTTGGGACAGACCGACCGAAACCATGTCCATGTCCGTTTCATTTCCCACCGAAACCCATCCGGATCGCCGGTGTCGGCCCAAGTTTAATTTTACACGACACGATCGCCGGCCAGGGCATTGGAGATCTGGGAATTTTCCTGGGCAAAGTCGTCGGCAAGAGCGCTGTTTGGACGGGCGCGAAAGTCACAGCCCTCTATGCCCACGTAAGGAGCAAGGGGGGGGAGTCACGTGTGTCAACGCGGGAACGAAGCTTTGAGGTGAAGGACTGGGTGCTTTTGGGATGACAAAGAACTTCTTGTATGGTTCATTAAAAGTAGCAAGGTGCAGGACCGTGATGATCTTTTGCTGCGTGTATTCAGTTAGAAGATATCTGAGTGGAACAAATCATGCTGCACAAAATAAAGCATCCTGGATCTCCGAGAAAGATCGCGCAGTATGTGCTCCTTTAGTTAGATTGATAGGTTCTGCAATCACAGGGTAACCTGTTTGTGTGCACGGTTATGGGGGAAGCAAGTCATGCTTGCTTTCCACACTGCAATGGGTTGCGTTTGCTTGCTTATGGGACTACTAAGCAGCCTGGTAAAGAAGTCATCGTTTCGCTTGGCTCAAGGGTCAGTTCGATGCTTCCCAAGCTCACCCTTACCTCCCAGCCAGGTGGAGCATACCACCTTAAACCGTCGAAATGTCAACCTCCTTTAGTGGTTACCTCAAGACTCAAGACTCAAGAAATGAAAACACATCTGCCTGACATGTATATAGAGAGAGCCAACCCTTTGGTAAGGTCAGGAGATTACCACACCACTTGCCAACCCCGCTCGCCTATAGATACCTCACTCTTATACATGCGCCGTGTACATATTCAGACAAAAACAAATTCAATAGAGCGGAACAAGACAAAGTCTGAAGGTCTAAAGACAGAGAATAAATCTACCTTAGAGTCTTAGAGTCTCTCAAATAAAATCATGGCTGCCTCACCACCGTGCTCAACACGTTGCCTCACAACCAAGCTGGATCAAGGCAGCCAATTCAACTAACTCAATCTAACTCACCACTCACCACCTAGTTCCACGAGGTCTCATCTTACTACCGCCGTACACGAGTTTCTTCGGGCATTGATTAGTTGGAGAAGGATCATTTGAAGCTTTGTTTTCTTTTAATACTGGGTTAGGTTGGAGATTATTTACAGTCAGATGTCAAACCACGACACAGTCTCCGCATGAAGTGCTTAGCATTTTCAGCACCGCTTGTTTGTCTCAGGCAGACAACGCCCCACACAGACAAGATCCATTGGACACATACCGAGATGCTCGACTTACAAACTGCCGTGAGGAGCTTGATATGGCCCTATGTTTGTTACTTCACCTTACTCTGAACTGGTTTCTACTGGTGCTGCATGAAGGATATTATTAGCTGACCAGAGGTTTTATTGGTTGTTCTTGGATGTTAGCTTGGCCCCCTTTCCTTATGGTTCCAAACAGGAGCAGCTGCATCCATTTGGAGCAGATCGTTGCCTGCGAGCCAGGGTAGGGCAAAACCATGTCATAGCTATACCTGGAAATCCAGTCCCAACCAGAAACAAACGGATGATCTCCCAGTGCTAAGCATTTGTGATGTAAAGATCTCAATTGCCATACTGGAACAACGTTTTCCAGGTACAACCAAAGGACGTTGAGCAATTCGCTTGTTGGTTTCTAGTACTGCTCATCGGCTATTTTGGGGGAGAGTGGGCAGCATGCTCATTTGATCCAGTAAGTCTTCCGCAAACATCCGATTTGACCTGGATTTGGGCGTCCCCGAAACAGTCAAGTGGCTTGCGGCAGTGATGTCTTTTGAGCACGAAGCGGCAGCCTGTGCCTAGGCTGGCCATTGGCAAGAACCAGTTGCAGGCAGCGGTCTATCCAGATGGGGTTCAGGAGCAAGACCTTTGCTGGATGGGAGAACCAAAGCCGGACCCCCAGAAAGATTAGTCGCTGTGTGGCACAAGTTGGGTCGATTCCTTTTTCCATGGTCACGACTGACAGGATTCCATGATGATTTCTGCTGTCAACTGGCCCATTTAGCACCGACAATGTGATTGTTGGTGTTGGGATTCCTTTTGGGGCCAATGGCTGCCTGTGGTCTATGCGTAAGATCTGTGCTACCACAGAGTGCACACCTGCTGGAAAAAGAAACTGTCCATAGGATGTTCTGTATGTAAACACCTTGATTGTTCAAACAATTAGTTGGCTCCAAAACTTTTTGTTGGGGAAGCTTAGGCACTTTGAGTTTGCAGCCATGCTTTGACTGATGCTTCAACCGACGCAGTATCAAGACTATTTGACAGTCATACCCAGGAAAAGAACTGAAGTTCAGGGAATATTCGGCCTAATTTGGGCTCTCCGGATGGAGCGAATGAATCCTACATATCCCATGCACTTGTTGCACAGCTACCCTTGTATAAATGCTTCAAGATGTTCCATGTCACTCAGCCCAAAGCGGAGTGGTGTGCGGCCACAATACAAGGCATCAAGCTAGTATGTACAATGTATTCGTGTGCTTTCGGTCGCCACGCTTCAGCCTGAGTGTTTTTGCCCAAGACAAGACCAATCCTGACTCCATTTGACTTTATTTTCCATGTGGTTGGAGGCCATCGCTACTAGGATGGAGGCCGTCCCTCTTCGGTTGGAGGTCATTGCTACTAAGTTCCTTTTGCCATTAGGTATGAAGAACCCTTTGCTATTAGGATCCCCCAACGGAGCGTGAGGCCACGATCCGGCTACGGAGTGCGGGGCGACCAGATCATCATCTCGCGCTTTGTAGCTCGATCCAAGCGGGGGGGTGTCGGGTTCAGCTTCCAAGCCTCGGAGAGTGAAGGTTAGTTGAAATTGTTTCAACCACACTTATGGCAGACATGGGCATAAGGATTTGTACCACACTTATGCTTGCCATGCAGTTGACGGTTCACAGAAGAACTTCTGACACTATTCAAAAAAAAAGGTTCAGGATTGACAGTGCTTGTAGAACTCCAGCAGTGGGATAGCATCTCAATCTCAGCAAAGTCTTTTTTCCGAACTCTCTCCAGTGGTAGCTGTTGTAGTTGCAGTAAATAGCAGAAGTCATGCTCAAGCATCCACGGCAAGCTGAAGTGAAACCTTCAAAAAATGGGTGTTATCGGCATGGTGTTTTCGGTGGCTTCCTTCCTTCCTTCCTTCCTTCCTTCCTTCCTTTTCTTTGTCAACGCCGACGTGGGCGAGGTGGGCGATGGCACCCTGGATGCCCAGAAGTATCGCACCTTAGCCGCCGAGCGTGCGAAGATGTGGGCCAAGCATCTCAAGCCCCTTGGCGAGACCCGACGGGAAACGGGCAACGGGAAGCGGGTTTGGTCCCAAAGCTTCGCCGCTTCATGTGGTGAGATGATGGTGATTGTTGGGTGATTGTGGGACAATATATCTATGTTTGTTTGAGTAGTTTTTACTTTTAAAACATATCCCCAGAATGTGGCCAAGTTCCATCAACACAAGGGACGCACCGAACCTGGAAGAGTCGTTTGAGTCCCCTGAGAATGATTGACCTTCGTTTTGCAAAGATTAATTCTCAACAGAGATGTTTCCAAGACTGTCCTGATCCCAAACAAACAATAGAAATGGACTCAAACCTGTGCAAGGGTCAGGGAGTTGGGCCCGACCCAGACCGGACTGGAAGAAGCGCCAATGTATTACTTTGGTTTTTGATCCAAGTTGTGAAGCAGTGCGTTATCTTTCTAGCTGTGGAACGGAAAGAGCTACTGTACCAACTAGATCCAGAAACAGTAGCGCTCTCCAGACAAATTGGCCGTGGGTCTGTTTGTCATCACCAGAAACGTGAGAGTGGCACAAGAATGCCGCGAGTCCACTGATTCTTCTATAGGATCATCTAAGACAGTGTCAATACAGCTGTCGATACTGTCGAGTTTGCTGTTTTCTGAGGCCCGACACCTTTGTTTTGGACCAAAGACACCAGTCGCTATGCGCAACATTCGACACGCACAAGAACAAAAAAGACATAGCTGGAAACCCAGTCCCAACCAGAAGCAGTTCTGGTTGTTCCCATGTGGCAATTATTTGAGAGACTGGGGAAACATCCATTTGTGTCTGGTTGGGACTGAGTTTCCAGGTTTTAACACAATACCTGACCAGTAGATTGAGTGTTGACCACGGCAGTCACAGACACACCGACAGCTGAAGGCACTACTCCGACACCGTGGGTCAATGGCATCGTGCCGTCTTCGGCAATCTTGGACATGACTTCAGCAAGGATTTTGGTAAGTGTACCCTCCACTGGTGAACGTTGAACACCGGGCAACTGAGAAAGTGCTTCAGGGTCATTCAGGGTCCAGTCCTCTTTATTGTCCACCCAAAGCACCGAAAGCAAAATCGCTCCATCCGTTTTCCAACGGCGAACAAAAACGTCTGTTCTTTTTGATGTGTTTTTTTTCGCCTTCTCCGAAGCGCTGTTGGATGCTGTGTTCTACTTGCGCTCGTGAGGCAGGTGCATTAAAAGCTGGGGAACTCCAGGGGACCCAGACTACTTCGAGGCGAATCGACCGACGTCCGGGGTGGACTCGATCGTTCGACCGGATGATGTGGGTGTGCTCTCGCAGAGTGAAGAAAGCGAAAGGTGTTCTTATGTTTTCTTAGAGACACAAGAAATCCCATCGAATTGCCATATCCTTCTAGACTCTTTTCAAAGGTATAAGGTATAAATTCAAATTGGCCACGAGGTTATTTTCCTGCGGGTTATATAAGGGTTTTGTTTGAACCTTTGCGTGCAGTATCATGTCACTCAATTGACGGGATACAAGATGGGTACTTCTTTATTTTCATAGTTCAGCACTACCCAAAAGGTGGTTTATAGGCCCCTGACCATGTATTGTGCATCCAAAATGTACCCTATAGGTGATGCTGGCCATTCTTCTTTCGGAATGACATCAAAGGGGCCAGGTGCACACCAGGAAGCCAGGTGCTGTGCTCGGTGCCGTGCTCCTTCCGCGGTAGGCCGTGACGCCGGAGAAGATTAAGGAGGGGTCAGAGCGTGTTGACTGATTGAGCAGGTTGACTGAGGTACGGCCGTTGATTGAGAACTGGAAGAAAGCCACTTCGATGAAGGCAGATCCCAGGTGCAATCACCCCTTGGGAACTCCTGGTGTCTTCTGGCAAGTTTGAGCTTATGCTGATGCTTTTAGACCTCCACAACAAAATGAACAAAGGGAGGGGGGGGCAGATGAGCATTTTAAGAACGTACAAAAAGAAGGACCGCCAATGCGAACTGTGTTAAATGCCTATTCCTTTGGATGTTCCTCCAGAAAGGTCAGGTCAAACAGTTGAGTTTGTAGACTTTGGTAGACCCAAAAAAAACAAAAACGACTCCTCTCAGAAAGGAGATGTGGGACTATGAGCCAACTCCCAAGGAGCCGTTGGCTTGTGCGATGCGTTTCGTCCGGTAGTGGCCCATCTTAGTGCAGTGTCACTGTTCATGTTTACGAATAGATTGCTAAGAGGGAGAGATTTCGGTTCGGTAGACGTCCCAGTGACGAGGTACCCAGCAGTGAAAGCATGGTGAAAAGGGACGGGTGCTTGTTTCTGAACGGTTTGTGGTTTTGAACGCACACCCACACCTGCTGCGATCCTGTGGTGAAGATGTTCCTCGCAAAAGACAGAATCAACACTGAATCAACCTGAAATCAGCAAATTCAGTAGATTCGATTTCCATCAGAACTCGGTTCTTGTAAGCAACCGTTGGCCAAGCGAAGCCTCAGGAGGCTGAGAAGGACTTCTATGAGGGTGCCCAGGGTGACGGCAAGCCGACATGGAAGAGCTATTTCAAGGGCAAATGGAAGAGCACCAAGGCGCTGCCGGGGCCCAGAAAAAAAGGACGCTACTAGGGGCTCCTGGCCTTACTACTAGGAGCAAGAAGCTACTAGGGGCTCCTGGCATCGCTACTAGGAGCAAGGACGCTACTAGAGAGAACACCTAAAAGCAATGGCCTCCACCCGATGGCGTCCACCCGAAAGGTGATGGCCTCCACCCTAAGGGCGATGGCCTCCAACCTACAGCATTGAACAGAGGGCAGATGTTCTTTCACACTTCTGTTTGGTTGCCAGACCTTCCGCATTCTTCTAGTCCGACACACCCATGTTCCAAGCTGGTGTGTGGACCCTCATGACGCCGCAAAGTTGGGCTCCCCATGCGGTGCAGATTGCTTGTGAGGCGTCCACCTACAAGGCCTTCCACACGCATGACAAGGAGGGCCGTCGATTGAAGCCGAAGGCCATGTTTTGTTCCAAGTACGCAGCTGCTGTACCTCGATCGCAAGGAGACTGAGAACTTCAAAGAGGGGTGAAGGGGCTGATTTTGCTCCGGTTGGAAGAAGATCTGCGTTGAAGAGTCTTGGAGCACCCGGGGACTCAGCAGATCTTGGTTTTGCTTGGAGGGTCATGACAAGGTCTAAGAAAGCCTTCTTGATAGAGAAATCTTTTGAAGACTCGTGGTAAACTCCTGAAAGCATCCAGCCTGAAGTCAGCAAAAACTCGTTGATTCTTTGGTGTGCTGGGTAGCTTAGTTCCCGTTTGGTTCGCAATCATTGCACCAAACAAGCTATGCCTAGACAAGGCTTTCCGGCTCACAGGATGTCAGGATCCATGTGTCAACATGGGCCATCTTGGAGCATGCAAACTTTGCGGTCATTTGCAGACATGGGCCAGTTTGCTTTTATAATTTCATCATATTTCCTCCCATCTTCACATGAATCATTTCGAAGCAAACTTAGAATCTTCTACAGCTCATAGATGCACTGGTGGGTTTCAGACATTGACTTTCATCGCCGTCTCTCTTGACCGAAGCACCGAACTCCGTGCCCCTCCGGCTTCGTGCGGTCCGACTTCCTCGGTTTCGAGGTGTGGTCCTCGGCCATCGGCAACCCCACGGCGGATCCCGACGCCGCGGTCCGCGCGGCGGATCTGCGGAAGATGATGCCCTTCAACCCAGGTGAGGGAAGATCGGGAGTCTGCCGGTGGAAGCCTGAAGGGGTTGGCTATTTGGGGTTGGGTGTTTGCTTCTTCGAAAGCGATGAAGAATACTCCTGGAGTCCTCATGATACTTCCGCAGTTGGGAAATGAGTGAAATGAGTAGAACTCAAACCAGACATGAATCAATAAGAAGACGGCCAAAGCCACTTTTCCGCCAGCGAACTATAAAATTGGCGTCAACATGCTGTAATAAGTAGCATGTCAATGTCAATCTCTCTTAATGATTCTTAATGGATTTGGACACGACAGCTATTTGGGCATGTGTGGGTCTTGTTGATTTGTTCAATCAAGACATGGCAGGCCCATGTAAGTGCAAGTGGCCCAAACGAGCCTGAAGCAGAATTGGTGGATCAACATGTTTCCGTAGGTGGAAAGCCCGCCACCCAGACCGTCGTTTTGGGGAGTTTGGGTTGATGCAAGCAAGGTGTTTCGTTTCTGAGTGTTGTGGCGAAATATAAGCCATCGCGACTATAACATTCAGATGGAGACGTATTGTAGTTATTCTTTACCCATCACCACGGTCGACACGGGCCTTTTGTTTTTGGTGTCAAGAGTAGACTTAGAATCCAAAGGACGAGTTGCGGCCGCGCCAGATACCTAGCTTTTTGATGCGTTTTGTTTGGAACACGCATGAAGACTACATGTTAATTCCTTAAGACTCCCACACTTCCAACAAACGACTGTCTGCCACTCCTGACTCGTTTGGTGCATTCTTTATACAGGTGCATGTTCTCCATGGACTCTGGTGCGCTGGATTGTGAGCAAGTCAGGACCTTGCGAGAAGCCGTGTCTTTCTCGTCATGGCTTTAAAACAAACAAACAAAAAACATGTTTTTACTCCAACAAAGGATGAATGGAACAGTTGAGCCGAGTTGAGCTATGACCAAAAAAAGACAAATGGATGGTATTTAGACGGAAAGGGGGGGGACCAGTAGCCAGGGATTGTTCTACCAGGTTTTGCTTGCAGTTGGACAAGACAGGACCAAACTCTCGGTCGCCAGCTACGACAGGACGAAAAGCCTGGAAGAGTTGCATCGCAGAACCGGGCATGGGGAATTGGAACCCCTGCGACTGGGGCGTCGAAAACGGTGTGAAAAACAACGGGGCGTCACAGAGATGACCACAAGGAACCAGTTTGGTGATGAGAAGCAACGAACACTTTGTGGGATGTCACACTCAATCGAAGATTTTGCCGAAGTGACCTGGTGGTCAAGATTACATTCAACAGACCACCAAAACCCAAGATTTCACCAAACATCCAGAGGACCTTGGCAGCCAATGAACATTCTAGATCCTTTTTTCTGTTCAAAAAGCCTCAGGAAGATACCCTTTCTTTCAGTGCAAACCCCCGAGCATCGGCGACCCAGGTGAACAAACTGAACGAGTTGAGTTGCTTCGACCCGGTCGCGAAAGGTCCTGAGTTCGTATTCGCGTCGTTCGTTGGAGAATAACTTCTCGGAAGGTTTGCAGCGTTTGAAAGGAACATGTGGCTTTTCAAAAGACTCTCCAAACTTGGACCCTCCAACGAACACGCCTTTGACCGCAATGTTTCACGGTGGAAAAGTGGCGCAGCTCTTTGGGTGTTGGCCGTTTTTTTCTTTTCACATTGGGGCTCTCGGAGACATGTGCCCTCCGCCGAAATCCAGGAAATCCGCTATTCCCTTCAGATATTTCTTGATCGAACATTGTGAATCATCGCCCGGCTATAGCTATTAAGCTATTAATCCAAAGGTCAACCTCCTGCTGCACTGTCGTGAGTCCATGAACCATCACCATTCTTGCCAGCCCACCGCATGCGAAAGGCTTTAGGAGCCGTGGTGCTTAGTCGCTCTAGACTCACTCTCCGCGGGAAGAGTCTCAGCGAGCTTCGGCCGATTTGAAGATTCGGTCGAACGGGAAGAGTCTCGTTTAGCACCACGTAATCCGATACAACAGTGCCCCCCTGAAGCAACATGCGAAGTGACCGCAAAGGTGTCGCTGAAAAATATGGAACACCCATGCATGGATTCCAGTCCTTCAGAACGGATTCTGAAACAACAATTTGGTACCTGAAACACTGGGATTTCTCCTCATGTTTTCACTTCCCACATTGTGAAAGTCTGGTCTCAGGGTCTTCCTCCTTTGGCCGGCCTTTTCCTCGCGGAGCACCCAGCTGGAAGAGCCTGGTTGGGAGACCCGGACACGACGACCCACAGATCAGGAACCACGAGCGCCATCGTTTCCACCAAATGGATTCATCACGAACGGAGAACGGACCAGATGTTTGGATCTGGGTGACCAGCAGCATCCGGCGGTTTCCAGCAGCTTCACCGAGTTCGGATGTCGTGGATCCGTGAATTTCAGTTTTCGGAGAAAACGAAGCAGACTCAGCTGAGATGGAGGTGCGAAAAAGTCCTGGAATGTTGTTCGAAGCTGCAGCGATCGGACGCTACGAACGGGGCTCCTGGCATCGCTACTAGGAACAAGAACACTTCGAACGGGGCTCCTGGCCTTACTAGGAGCGATCGGACGCTACTGCCGGTCCTTGCAGGTTTCAGCGCTTCCACGACCCTCACCCTCGTGCGGTCTGTGGGACCGGGCAAGCGAAGTGCGGCGCCTGTCTCTGCGGCGTTGTGTCGGTTCCGATGCGTTTCTTTGTGACCCCAGTGAAGAAGCTTGAGGTGAACGATCTGATCCTCGCAATGACCGATTTTGGGGTTAAGGATCCGAGGGATGAGCAAATACTCTGTTTTGAGCACGAGCAAATAAGCTAACACAGGCGATTGAAGCGGACCATGAAGAGACATATAGATGCATATGACTATTCTGGTTCTGTGTGTATGGGACTTGAGGTTCCCTTCCGTTTTGAGGACATGTCAGGGGCAGACATGTGAAATGGATCACTCTGATATGGGGGAATGCAACGTGTTGTGGAACGGCGAAACAATTACCAGCAACAGCTGTGGGGAGAACGTTCAAGCTTCCTCGACCATCAATAGGGCGGCATAGGACAAGGTCCCGTTCACTGGGGACAAGTGCCCCTGCGTGAAACACAGGCCTCTTGAACGTCCAACAAGTAAGGATGCTGGTGTTTACCGCCGCAGTTTATCTTGACAATTACCTGCCCATCGTGGAATTATCTTCCATATTCGTCCCTTTTCCCCTTGACTTTTGTGAGCCACCCAGAATTCCAAAGTTCTGACAAAGTCGTGAATATCCTTTTTATACACAACAAGATCCAAGCGAACTGCATGCAAACTGAACTCCCTTTGAGTTGAGGACAGTCAATTAAACTGCCCTTTGATACAGAGCCTAGTGTAGAAAAGTATCCCTAATACCGTTTACTAGGAGCAAGGACGCTGCTAGGGGCTCCTGGCCTTACTAGGAACAAGAACGCCGCTAGGAACAAAGGGCATCGCTACTAGGAGCAAGAAGCTAGTAGAAACAATAAGCTACTAGGAACAAGTGCATCGCTACTAGTAACAAGTGCCTTACTACTAGGAACAAGAAGCCAGTAGTATCCTCCTATACCCTTAGCTTTGGTACCCACCCTGACGACCAAGGCATCGTGGGCGTGCCGCCTGGAATCGATGGTGTGCTTCCTCCTACGGGTGCCGAGTCCCCTGAGTCCCCCGTCACGCCACCCGTTTTCCGTCGGAAGATGTGCCATTCGGTTCGGTCGCATGGTTGGTGGGTCAACAAGGGGTGGGAGTTCCGTGCTGAGAACATCGGAGCAGAACATCCATTTGCTATGTATGAATTTCAATCATGTTCTGGCCAAGGTTCATTGTTATGAGAAGGGAAAGTCAAGAGAAACTTACCAGCGAAAACTGTTCATTGTCCCCTCCCGTATTATTGTATGAAGAGCTTGAAGAACCAATTATTTGATGCAGAGAAAGTTGTGCCTGCTGTTTGAAGTCCAGCCGGGGTGGGTTGACAAGCGTGTCCTTCAATCAAAACGCCCCAAAACAGAGATCAAATTCAAATGTTGACGGCCTGCCTGCAGTTTTAGAGCCCTTTTCGTTGATCCACTTCGATCTCGCTGTAGACTTGGTGGCTCCAGGGAACTGGGTGGCTCCAAATGGGATTTGACCAAATTGCCAGCCTTGAACATCTTGACCAACCACACCTGAATCATCGACGTTAGGCTGCCAGAGCTGAATCCCTTGGGAGATGGACGATGTTACTAGTAGCAAGAATGCTCCTAGTAGTAATGCCCGGAGCTACTAGTAGCGTCTTGCTCCTAGTAGCGATACCCTACTTTGTTACTAATAGCTTAATAGCGTCCTTGCTACTAGGTTCACTGGTGAGACTCCAAAAAAAGGACACCTCTTCCAGAGAACACATGCCCAGAGGGCAAAAGCATAGAAATCACGTGGCACGTGCTTCGAGCAGAATTGCGATGCCGATGACCTGCAACTGGCGCGATGCTGGCCTGGTGGCTGCTGGCGCACTGGGTGTGCTGGCGAATGGAATTTTAGATGTGGCGGACCCAAATTTTCCGGCAGACCATGTTGACGGAAATCCCGTCATTGCAGTGGTTTTGCACTCCACGGTTTTTAGTAAACAGCATGACAGAGACCTTTCATGCCGTCCTGGGTTTTGCTACTTCAGAACAGAATGTATTAACTACCAGACACCAATGGACTGTGAAAGATCATTCTGTGCTTGCAAACTGGTTGCCGCCAGGGCTCCTTTTGAAAGACTCTGACAGAGTGGTGAGAAGAGTGCACGAGAGAGTGCATTCCTGTACTGGAATTGTTCGAGAACTTGTTTCAACTTAGCAAAATCCATGGGATCTACACTGTAGTTACTCTGTAGTTGGTTGTTTCTACCTGGTAGTTAGTTAGAACTAGTTAGAACTTATCAGGACGTTGGATTTCCCAAGACAAGCAACCAGTAGGAGACTTCCCAGAAATCAACATGTCATTCTGCAAGAAGCCCATGTATAGAAGAGTTCCCTACTTAAACTATTGCACTTCGGAATATCTCCCAAGAACCTTCAAAAATCATATTCCCACGTAATCAGCAGAAAGATGGCATAGTAGCGCGCCGCAACTGATGAGCACGCCCCAAACAAAGCTCGACGCGTTTCCAGGTCCCATACTGGCGAGCCCATCTTACACAGTGCAGTGAGCCACACGAAATAAAACAATTCCAGTTCCATGGAAATTCCCAATGACATTTGCTATCATTTGCTGGTGAGCCACACCAAACACTTCAGGTGGCGCCTCATTGCTGTTGCTGTGTTCCCAGCTCCGAACTGCAGCAGCTCGGCGGAGCGTCGAGCTGGAACCGCTGGAGGTCCGGCAAGCGGAGGAGAGGAAGGCAGGACCGGTGGAAGATGGACACTTCAGCTGCAGTAAAATAGATGTAAACAGAGGAAACAAATGTTCTTAAGTGTTGCATGGACCTTAACATTTTACACGAACTTGTGCACTTTACCCTGTATGTCTGTATGTCCAGAATTTTTGTGGAAGACAAAAAAAATATCCGACTATGGCTTCTTGCAAACCAAATGGGCGGACACAAAACGATTCTCCCGGGGACTGTAAGGGTGACGCATGTAGGCAATATTATTCCATAATATTTCATAATCTTTCATGCTTTTAATGACGGAGTGTTTGGGTGACGCGAGCTAAACCTTCCAGACTGCCATGAATTCGGACCCTTGTCCTGAAGTCTCGAGATCGAGTCAGACGGTCGGAACACCGGGAGAAGCAGAGGAGCGAACGTCCGCTCGGCAAAGCTGCCGGTAGACGGGTCAACGTGCAGTTTGTATTCTGATTGCTTTGGGCAAGAGAGAAGCTGAGCGAAGAACATGGCCTCAAAAGGCATGTTTGGTGAGCGGATCCCACCCCCTGACCATTTCGAGACAGAAATCATAAGGTGCTGAATGGTGGGACAGTAGTTTGTAGAATCATTGCCGTGCAGATAAATCCAAGGAACCATATTGCACTCCGCCTGTAGTTACACTGTAGTTTAAGCGATTTGTATGTATTGGACATGCACTAAACTGAATGCAGAAATTGTCCAGATTTGACACATCTATATTATATATGTTCTACATGATTCTACATGTGACTTACTGTACCATTTAGACCATCATATGAATCATCTGTCGTTTTTTTAATCGAAAAAGGGTCACTCCAAAGAGGATTTGGGTGCTACGAAGGGGCGAGAATGAAGCGGCAGCTCTTTGCCCTAAATCCAAATCTAACGATTAGGTGATAAAGGTACCTTATAGAAAAAACCTTAAGGAACCTACTAGCGATGCCCTCCAACCTAATAGCGATGCTCGGGCGCCAAATTCGCACCAGGGAGATACGTCACCTATCTCATTCCCGAGAGGTCCTGATGGTGTGGGGGAGAAAGTTGTATTCTTGTGTCCTCATTGTTGTAAGAATCCACCCCAAAAAGGGGTCTTTGCCAAAGTCATGT